GGAACAGAGTAGTTAAGCAGCCTCCCTAAAGAGCTCTTTTTTGGCTAATAAGATAAGAAATTGATTATGCAGCTGAGCAGTTGCCCCAGGTAGTCAAAAATCCAGTTAGCTCTCAGGCAAGGGGCCAAATTCCGCTATCAGCTTCACTAGTGCCATTAGAGGGAGCCCAGTGTGCACAGCAGCAGAATAAGGCCCTTTGTCTGCACACTGCTCTGCAAATCCACATTTAGCAGATTATCCTCTTGCTTCCCTTCTCCCTTCAGCAAGCACTTTTAGGCTTTAACCATGGTTCTTAGCTTGCTGGAAACCAACCTTTTCATGACCGAAATACAAATTATGCACAGTGCAATTAACCCAGTATGCAAAACTGAGCATTTTGCCTTTTTAGAGTGCCCTTTCCTAATCTGCAATTTCCATCTCTGATGTCCATAGCAACATCTGCTGGTAGAATAATATAAATACATAAAAAGAGCAAGCAGAGGCCTAATGAAACCTTCAAACAGTTGTGGGGTTCTGTTGCTTTTTTTCCTAGACCTATGACTATATCAAACTTGTTTCACTTCTTCCCACTGAAAGCACCGTATTCCCAAAGGTAATACAAAATGTTAAAAATTAAATAGCAATGTCATGAGTCTTAAAAGAATTATCTGTGTGATTAGTAAGTTATTAGCAAAATTCTTTCCTTGGATTCTACTCCCTCACTATTATCGCATAGCTCATACATATTTATCACATGTCTGTCCTTAAACAAAGTAGACAGAAAAAACCCTTACCGCAATGTCTTAAGCAACAAATTACTTTTGGATTTGGCAATCTCTCCATAAAATGCCATAAAAATATTTCCCAAAAAGAAAAATTGAGGAAATATAGAATGCACACATTTGATTTGAAGGCTTAATATCTTGAGAATGACATTCTTGAAAAAACTACACAGCTATTACTACACTTACAGTCATCACACCTACTCCAAAAAATTAACAAGCTGTAACTTTGCTACCGTAATAGGACCCTAACAAGTCTTGTAAACTTACTACTTCAAATACACTTGACTTCCTTTTGTAGAATTATGCAAAACTGCTTTTATTTTAAAAACTGTAAGAGCAAGTCTACAGAATCTAGCAACAAATTCCACTTAAAGCTAATCACACAGACAAGAACAAAGTACAAACAACAAAGCTTTTAAATTTTACCTCTGACTGCTTTGCTACAGAATTGGCTTTATTGTATCCCATTTAAATTCTGGAATATTGCCAGTGATAAGAATAGAAAGGATAAGAGCCCAGTAACTAGTGTCTCATATAATAGCTTCTAATTTGAAGTCCATTAGTACCATGCATTAACACATACAGATAGATTTCCTGCTCCTCAGATCATCTAGTCTGGAATGAAACTTCACAGTCATTAGGGTTTATTGAACTCATATTCCTGAAGATTCTTCCTTGGTTTGCTCTGTTATTAGATTGTGCCTGATACATTTTATAGATAAGTCTTTATGGATATTTTATATGGCCGTATAAAACACATATATCATATTTTATGAACAATATGTATTTGTATGTCTGTATATATCCTACTACAGCCTACCTAACCAACCTAATGGTTACTGCAGGACAAAATGCAAAAATCTCACTTACTCATACCTTGAAGGACACTTTTGACAATGGCATCTGTGTGATCAGCCAGCAGATCCACTTTGGCAATTGCAGCCAGCGACAGATAACTCGACATGTTTCTACACAGTTCCTTATTTCCCCTCTGAAGAAATTTCACGGCCACTGGGACAGCTAAGGCCATTACTGGAGGTCGATTGTAATTCTGCAAGAAGAAGAAAGCACATGGAAAAGTAAGTGTCTGAAAAAAAAATCATTAAAAAAGTCTCATGCTGATGAGAATTGAAAAAATATATATATATCAAAGAAGAAAAAGGCAAAAAACAGATCGAGAAAGGTTATATGTTGGTAACACCACTGCAGTCAGGCTGCAAGGAAAGAGCAAAGAAAAGAGCAAAGAAATTTAGGCTGCCCACATTGGGATATGCTAATGACATGGCTAGCCTTGCCTTCGGCCCGAGGAGCAGCAAGCGTGGGGATGCGAAGTGTGGGAATGTTTCCAACAACACGTTCTGTGTTTGTCGTTATCAGAGAAGATGGATGTGAGGGTGACAGAGCCCTGGCACAGGCTGCCCAGGGAGGCTGTGGACCCTCCTTCTGGAGATGTTCAAACCCGTCTGGATGTGGCGCTGGGCAACGCGCCCTAGTGCGCTGCTTGTGCAGGGAGTTGGACTAGACGATCTCCACAAGTCCTTTCCCACCTCAACCCTTCTGTGACCCTGTGGTGGCAGAAACCTTACCCACCATTCACACAGAGCACATACTTCTTGTGGGGACCCTTTCTGTACAGGATCTCCCTTCCATTCAGCCTAGCACTGAGGTTTCTTTCTCGTTTCATTTGTTTGTCGGTTTTTAGAAACTCAGAGCAAGGCAAGAGAATGGCTGCAAAGTACAACAAGAGTCCAAGGCCATAAATCAAAACTAAAACCCTATAGCATTGCTCATTGAATGCAAACAACTCTTTCCAAACTGCAGGTTCATGATGTTTTTGTGAAGTAAATAAAAACAAAGCCTTTTTTTTTTTTTTGGAAGGACAGAAGAGAGAGAAAAAAAGATGTCATTAACTTTGAAATCAAACCTATCCAGGGAGGTCTCTTTAGCAGACTTGCTCATAAGGTAATCACTTCACTACACGATCATCAATTTTCCTCTGCTAATTAAGATTTCCTTTCTTAAATCCCAGCCCATTTCACTGAACTCCAGGGTCAGCTGAAATTTTCTATGCGTGGCACTGAGCACAGATAAATTCAGTCTTCAGTGACCCAGGGAGCGTCTTCACGTTCCCTTGGTTCCTCCTGCAGTTCCGCGTGCGGGACCCTGCGCTGCGCACGGCTGCGGCGCCGGCCTCGCTGCCCTCGCCACGGGCGCGTGCAGATGGGCTGTGTGTAACTGAGGACCTGACCTCCTCAGCCGCTGCTTTCCTCTCATCTTCAGTCGCCTTCGACCAGCTCTTTGAAAGTGGATTACATCATTGTTTTTGAAAATAATCCTGCTATATGATTGTATTTAATTAGCATCTGAAATCACAGTCAACCACTGGGACCCAGATGTTACAGAAAGCAACAAAACAGCGGAAAAAAGGCAGCGCTCACTTAACACATGCTTATCTGGAGCGGCCTTGAAAAAATAAATTTAGATCTGGGGGGAGGGTGAGCCCAAATCCCCCAAATCCTCTTGTTCCCCATCCAGCTCACGAGGCCCTTTGCCTCCGTCGGCAGCAGCTGCCCCTCTCTCCCACCAGCCTCCCGGAGAGCAGGATGGAGCCTGCTGAGGGCTGCGTTTGTGCTGGTCAAGCAGGGCAGGAGCCAAGGAGAGGTGGCAACGAGGACTTCCCAGCGCAGCGACCAGCCAGCGACGGAGGCCGCCGCGGCCAGCCAGCGACGGAGGCCGCCCCGGCACCGGCCCCGTGCGGGAACGCGCTCCGGCAAGTCCTGCGCCTAGGACAGCTCGCTGCAGCAAGTGTTAGATAACCAGGGACTGTCGCTTTAATGAGAAAAAGCCTAAAAATTAATAGTTTTATGTAGCAGCATGCTTACATCAACATACTGCCTCATTACTTCTGACTAAGAAGCACTACTGAGTAGGAGAGTCTTTCTGCCTCCAAGTCATATTCTAGAAATCCACATAGGAAGGACAGGAAAATAAGGCCTGGCCCTCTAACTGGGGTTTAAAAGCTCTAAGAAAATTGCAAAGAATGGGATTTTTTTTCCCCCACGATAAAGATGATAGAGTACTTAGGTAAGGGAAGATATTAATTCAGATGGAAGGATGAGTACGGTTTCAGTTGTTCCACTGTAAATATCAGGGCATGTCAGCACACTTAGGAAAATGTGAAGGTGACAATGAAAAACAGATTTCAAAAATACGGTATTGTGAAGTTTGCAAACCTAGGGGACTTCCCTGCTGCTAGTATCAACAGCAACATGCTGTGAGATTCAACCCAGCTGTAAGATATTCATTACTTCAACTATTCCGCACGTATTATATAAAAACTCAGCTTACGTTTTCTTCCTTTTTTTTAAACGCAAAGGAGCTTGCTGATAAAGCTGCCTTTGAGAGAAGCAAATGCACATTTATAATGTCCTCACTTCTTTTAAGGAAGCACCTTTGACATAATCCATAGTGCAAAGCAAAGCTTAAAAAGATCTGACTGAGAGGTACCTCTCACTCAATGAGATAAAGGAGACAACTGAGCTTTGGAACGAGGGAACTGAAAACTGACTATCAGGCCCCCAAAATGAAAACCATTTTCCCTCCCTCCCTTACTGCAGTGAACAAACCAACATTTCTTTGGCAAAGGAACTTCTCTCCAGATGACATCCAAAGAACTTTATAATCGCAGGGGGAATTGCATTTAGAAACCTGCTTTAGTTAAACATGGATGACAATTTAAAAGCAATATTTTAAGAAGTAAATCTTCTTTAACTGGCTAAGGCCAAAAGATTGAGTTTTACGGTCAAGATTAGATTTTAGTTTGGAAGCTAGTTGTGTGTGTTGTATCTGGACTCAACATTTGCAATCAAAATTTTAAGGGAGACTTTCCTTACTCTCATGATTTCTGACAACCTAAATTTCATGTCATTAAAGATGCCAAAGAATACTCTACAACTTGATATTAAGTGTTTTCAAATAAAACATTCTGTAACTACAGGAAATTACAGTTCTTTTCCTCCCACTAATTCTTACATGAAGTGCAAATTGCTTAGAATTAATGGGACATTGGTATAATGAGACCTGGCAGTAAGCAGCCAAGATGTTCCCAAAGATAAGAAAGTTGCCAGAACTTTAGATTCACCACAACGGATTCTGCATACATGGAATAACACACATTAATATTTGGGGTGAGCCTCTTGGTTTTAAACCAATGCAACCACTGGTTGATGTGGTTAAACCAATGCAACCACTCAGGCTGCCCAGAGACGTTGTAGAGTCTCCTTCTCTGGAGATCTTCAAAACCCGCTTGGATGCAGTCCTGTGCCACGTGCTCTAGGTGACCCTGCGTGTGCAGGGGGTTGGACTAGATGATCTCTAGAGGTCCCTTCCAACCCTAAGCATTCTATGATTCTATGATTAGGAAACAAAGTACAGCTGCTTTAAAAAAGCAAGCCAGTGCTGAACGCTGCAGGGTGTGTTATACTGTACCGCTGCCAACTCCGCCCTACCTGCAAGATGCAGCTCATGATGTCGGACGCTATTTTGGCGTGCGGCGTGTCCTCGTCCCTCCCCGAGGGCTGCAGGTTGTGCTCCAGGCACGACTCCCAGAGAGCCACGAGCGCCTTGCCGTGCTTCTCGATGGACTCCGTCTCCCGGATGGCGCTGGTGATGCGAGTGACGCAGATCTCCACCACCGCCTGGTCGTTGTCATTGCTCTGGTAGTCCTGGGGCAAACACAGGACAACTGCCACTGAATCTACAGCATTTAAAGAGACCCTGGAAATTAAGACAGTGATTCAGTTCCTGCAACTGTTTTCTTCACATCCACCTTTCTTCAAAAAGTTTGGGGTGATTAAAAAGAAAGGCTGATCGTGTTGTAGACAATTCACCATTTCAAGCTTTAAATCTCAATATAAATATTAAAAAATAATTTTAAAATGAAACAAGCTGTTTTTCCATAATCGTATTACGTTATCACATGGTTTTTAGCGGTCTCTGGTGGGAAGCATGGCCTTTTGCTTCCAGACAGTCAAGACCTAAGACCCACTTGCACAGGTCTCTTCTCCCGTCACTCCCAATTCAAAGGGAAACTGTTATATCCACCGAGCCAAACACAGGGCCCCAAATGTTTCACATCACGCAGAGTCCCTGACGCAAACACAGTTAGGTTCAATTAGTATTAATGCAACAATGAATAAGAACTGATTAAATAGGCATTATCACAAAATCCTGTAATCCCCCATAACTATTTACGCGTACGCCATGTGGCTATGAAATACTATCACTGTGACAGAAACGGCATCAGGGTGAGAGATTCTAGTTCTCTCTCCTGAGAACGAGGTGCAGAACAAACCCCTATAGATTAACCTACACTATGCTCCTCTAAAAAGCAATGACCATAAGGGGCAGGCGGAAGGAGTCATTACTTATTTTTTCTAGGTAAAGCACAGATGATTTTAACTGGCTGTGCCAAACTCCGCACTAGCTCACAGAAGCGGAGCTAGAGTAGCTCCTGCTGAGGTGTGAGCTGCCGTTTCACAGGACATCATGCGAGACACTGAAGATGAGACATTTTGGCCTGTCTCATGAGCAACTCTCTGGCTTTATACATGACTGACACACTCAAGGAGCTTTGCTTGGTATGCCCAAAAATGCCTGTACTTGTTGAAGAGCATTTACACATTTTCTTCTTGGATTACGTATTGATAAACAGGCAAATGGGTTAATGCTCCCAGTCTGTTGCTGGTTGGGACAAGTTGGAAGCAGCCAACCAGAAGCAAGTGAGGGAAGTTCCAAGTCCTGTTCATATTCAGCGACTGGTGCTGTCTGGATACAGAAAGTGGGATGGTCCTCTCTACACTTCTCTGAAATTCCTCACATTTGGGGAAAATATGTGCGCTCCCTGTCAAATTCTAATATGAGAATATTAACATTGCAACAAACAGCCCTACATTGGTTAAAAAAAAAAAAAGAACACACACACACAAAAAGTATAATGTATTTCATTGATCATTGATGCCCTCTAGTGGGAATTACCTTTAGGGAACTTAAAAGTGCAGAAAAATAATTGCCTTTGGACTGCAGTACGGTTTAGCTGTTTTACCCAAACTGGTATGTCTGTAAAAAATTTGGTAACAAATTCAGTAGTTTTCTCTCAAATAAATACATTAGAAGGAATTTCTGCATCATCTGAGAGTCTGCAGCTAGATTAGTAGAAGTACATTCGAAACAGCAGCAACCACAACCAAAATAACTTGATTAATGTTCTGAAAGATTGTGCAAATTGAATTGCTGTCAAAGAAATTACCAAAGAAAAGAATAGCCTCTGCACAGTGACCTTCCTAATGGATGATTTAGAGCTCCTGTGGCAACCAGCAACACAGTGATCAAAGCTCTGGAAGCCAGAGGTTTGTATGTTGCCAAAACTGATTTTAAAAATCACATGCTATAACGTGCCAGAAAAGTGCTGTTCTCAGAACACAGCCAGGCTGCTAGTGACTATCTCAAGGCTCGTAAAAGCTTCCAGTTCCCTCCTGCAAAGCTCTACATTCTGCAGTCAAAGGTGGATTTGAGGCCTTTGAAACGTCTCAGCAGGCTCGAGTCTCTGCAACGCAACGAAGGCTGATCCAAGGACTATGCCCAAGTTAAACTGTAGTTAATCTTAAGTCAAAGGCAAAACACAGGGGCAAAGAGGTGACAGGGGAGGTCAGTTGAGAGCAGCTGCTGGACTGCTCTGGCCTGGGACTGTTTGGTGATGATATAACTTACTGATGATATAACCTGTTATCGCCACGTCCTCCTGTACAAACCTGTACAACATTTTTAACAGCCAAGAGAAAACACACACTCCTAACGTTCACCACAAAGGACCCAATTGAGAGGCTGTACGACCAGCTCACTTCAAAGAACATCACAGACTGAGCAAAGATAGGGAATATGAGCAGAAAAGGCTTTTTCATTTTATTTTTCCCCGGATGGCACTTAAAGAAGGTAGTAAAGATGGTAAGCCTTTCATTCAGAACACTTTTTGCTGAAGTACTTACAGCAAATGCACACCTCACACACAGTGCACCTGTTAAACTACTCATCTTTAAGAAGTTTTATTAAAGAGGGTTTTAAAGCTTATGACAAAGATCAACTTAAAATGCTTTTATGTTGAATCAGCTAGTAGGAACTGAATTTGGTAGCCACATTTTTAATTTTACACTGAAGAATGCCAATCAAAAGGTAAGATTTAGGATCTTAAAGATTTAGCTTGTATATGCCCCTGCACATAATATCATACAAAATAATTAAGGACAGGGTTCTACTTACCACAGAGGAACTAATTATTCTTATTTGTTCGAGAGCTTCTGAGATGCTTCCTTCGATTTCAGCATCATCTAAGGAGAAGAGATCCCCCGCACGCGAGAGGTCCTTCTGGGCCAGAACCAGCCCAAAGAGGTGGTGCATGGCTCACGTCGCATCCGCCGCGTGCAGGAAGGGATCCAGGGAGCACAGCATGGGAATGGTCCTGGGGGCTACTGATCAGCTGAGCTGGAGGGATAGGTCTTGGGTTCAGACTTCCTTCGTCATGATCTAAAGGGGGAAAAACCACAGTTATTAGGGAAGTCCTGTAAGTACTGTCGCCCTCCAGTTGGGCAAAAATGTTTAAATGGTGCATTTCAGAGGCACACAAAAACACACACTGGAGCTGGAACTCTGCACTACGCCTTTTCCCTGGGCAGTTTCACAGCAGCAGAGCAGCAGCAGGACGGAGGTCGCCTTAGTGGCAGCGACACTTGTGAAAGCAGCCAGAAGACAGCAGCAGCCCTGGTGATGGCAGCAGCCCCGAGGAGATGTTTGCCTTACGGGGGATTTATTTTTCCCACTTTCAGGGAAATGCAGTTTGGTGCTCGGGGATGCCCGAGGGTTTCCTCCTGCTGCTGCAGCTCCCCTGCTCACTCCAGTGCCACTATCCTGTATCCTCCTTGGCGGTGCCTCTACTGTAGGCTATGCCAACAGGTATATTCCATTTTATCACTGCTTCCCCTATATTGGTGAGGAGATAACCTTCTTCAGAGATCTGTGAATTTATCTGCTGTTTTGTTAGTCAAAAGTTCCTTCCAAGTTAAGATAAATGTATCTTACTTTATCCTTTATATGGATATGCATACATAAACACACATTATATATATATATATATGATATGCAAATATTTAATATTCTAAACGAAGAAGTTTCCACTTAGCTACTGGTATGTGTCTGTGTAGGAGTACTAATATAAAATAACACATATAAAACAGATATTTGACATAAAATTATAACATTAAGGGAGACATATGCTAAATACATGATATTCATGGTTTTTCAAGAGTAAGAGATAGTTTCAAATGTTATACACAAAAAGCAGTGGCTAAAATAGGATCAGTTTGCCTCTGTTTGCTCACATTGCCTAAATGACACTCCGCATTTCTAGTGAGTAGAATTTCCCTGTAGCTTTACATAAGAAAGAGAGAGAGACGTTTGCGATTTGACATATGTTAGCCAATATAAAATTCAGGAGAATGTAGAGCCAAAAAGCTATTCATAATCTACACAGAGCAATGAAGGGGCGGCACAAATGTAAATTAAAACTGAATTAAGGCACTGAACATCAGGTTTTCCACATGCGTCTGCATCAGATGACACTGCCGTACGTGGGCACAGCCACATGAAGCCAAATTGAAGCAGGTTCAAGCAGCTCATGCCTGTGTCTGTCTGTGGGGGCGGTCAGGGAGTTCTCTCTACATATGCACATCTCACATGAATCTAAACGTTACCTAGAGCACACTATCAAAAAGACAGTCTTACCCTCTTCTCTCTCTACTCATTCACACACATCATACAGAATATTTACTGATTTTCATAGGACAGCCAGGGATCTAACAAGCAGGTCTTCCAGCTGGCCCATGTGGCTTCACTGCCGTGCTCAGCTCATCCGTGTTCATTTTGAATGTCCTGAACAAAGCTCTGAGCTGTAGCATACCAGATCAGTTATACTTGTTATTTGAGATATAGTGCATTTTCAATGCCTATTACTCTAATTTTATGCTATTTTTCAGAAACAAAATATAAAAGTCAAATAAAGGGCAAAACCGATGTAAAACGCGAGAGCTTTCTGGAAATCTTTCACTGAAACAGTCTCTATTTTAACAGCATAGTTGGCACTCCGTGTTTGATCTGTCGTAAGTCTACTTTTAAGTTCTTTTAATTTCTCTAAATCTATTAGTATCATTATGGCAGATTTTTGCTCAATTTACAAAAAGAAAAAAGCAGATACGAGCTAAGAAAACCCCCAAACCCAAAGCATAACAGGCTAGATTCTCCCAACAATCATTAGGATATGAAACACCTGTTACTGAACGGAAGGTAATGGGGCAAATTCAGAGGAGATTGGGCCCACCGCACTCATTCAGCAATTCTCAAATTTGAAAGCAAAACTTCGAAACAGCTAGACACAACCTGATTTTTGTTACCTGCTCGCGACTCCACAGTGACATTCCTAATGACGTTGACAGACGAATAGTTTGTGCTCTTTGAGACAGGCAGAATATTTGCTTTGCTCTTGCGCTACCACAGGCAATATCCAAGGGCATTACAAGTGGAAAGTTATGGAATCCACTCCACGCAGTGAACCTGAAGCTGTTAATTACAGTGCCAGGAGTGAGGAATGCCAGGAACGCAGACTAAAGCAGCCTAAAAGTTACCAGTGACTCAGTCAGGTGACTAGAATGAACTTAAATGCAGAGGCCTTATCTTTCAATGAAACACTCTGTTTCCTAGGACAAAATACAAAGCCTACTCCACTTGAGTGCAGTTGTTTTTAACAGAGAAAACAGAACTCTCTGTGTTAGTGGAAAGCTATCCTTCCTCGGGAAGAATGCAAGGGAAAAAAAAAGAAAAACCCTCAGAAATCTGTTTGAAAGGAGAAGAACAGGTGAGCAAACCTAGCATAGAACACAGTTTCTATCCAAAAGAATGAATGTGGTCATTCTGCAACACTTTACATGAACACAAAAGAGGGTCTGAAATTTATTTTGGCTTTTAACAACCCCCTTCATGACCAGCACTACAAAATCCACACACAAACTGTGCAGAAGCTCTTTGGGAAGGAAGTTCTGCTGGAGCCGTCGCTGGGACGGGCCGTTCCGCGACGCGGCGCCGCTTCCCAGGCCCAAGGGGTGCCCGGCTCGGCGCCCTCCTACAACCACAGCTCCTCACAAAGGCTCCTCTCTATCTTACGAGCAGATTCTTCCAATGCAATTTTTATGGACAACATTAGGGACAATACTAAAAAACATTTACTTACCATAAGCTCTCTGAAATGGAATTATAGCAAATCTTCTTAATACTTACGTTACATAACAGTGCTGAAAAGATTTATCTTGTATAGCTCTTCTGAGGAAGAAATTGTCCTTTAAGTATCTCCTCCTTGCTCACTACAGGCTCATTCTGTTTCCTACTAGCAGGCAGCTGGTACTAAGGAGAAACACAATATATATCTTATAAAAAGTTTCCTTTAACTCTTCTCTCCTCCATCACTCCACAGTAGGGTCAGGCTGGACAATAAAACTGCTTCAGAGTCATTTTCCTGAAACGCCTCATCAGATTTCAAATCATCTATCGGTGACTTCTTGTTGGGATAGCCTGGAGATTACTGAATCTGCCAGATCAGCAGAGATCAGATGTGCAGGTGGGTCCTGCACCGGCCAGCGACAGAAGGGAGGCGAAAGGTCTCGGCAGTGGTTGTGGCTCCCGCCCGGCTCCACGCGGCCGCATCGCTCGTGGGACCGAGCAGCAGGGATCCGGATGGGCAAAACGTGGAAGCAAAGCAGCACCTCGAACTTGTCACAGACTCCAAGCCATGGCCACGCAGAGCCAGCGTATAACACAGACCATCCCCACTGCTTCCCGGTGTGTTGCCACATCTAATTCAAAGCTCAGGTTCTCATTTCAGCACTTGGTTTCCCATTTCATGGAAAACTGCAGAAGTCCTTCCTTCCCTGGGACCTTGGAGCTGTTGCCCTCCAAGGCGAGTCTCTCGCAGTGCTGTTACCAAAGCTCCTTATCAGGAGCAATCAGAATAAAGCTAGCCTGACAGGTTTCAGAGCTGGAGCAGGTGAATTGGCCTGTTTGCAAAATAATTCCTCCAGTAACAGCAGAGAAACAATAAAAATTCCATGTAAAAGGGCATGTGGACCTAAGACCATCCACGAGCTAGTGGAACTCTGAAATAATAAGCCCAGTCCTACAGTTTTAGGAAGGACTCCAGTTCTGCTGAAATTTCAATCCTTTGAAATTAAGAAAGTGGGAGATCAAAAAAGTTTATTTATAGTGAAGCACACTGTGCAATAAATTAGAATCACCTCCTCAATTTTCAAAGGATTCATACCGAAGGAACGGCTGGGAGGTTTTACCCAGATGGTGCTATCCCACTGAAGCTTTGGGGAAGCCCTGTAGACCAGTGCCACAATATTGCTCATTTAGCTGTAACATAAGTATGAGAATATACTCACAACATCTAAGTAACGTAAGTATGAGAACATCCTCACATCAAATGTAAGAAATTTCAAGTGTAGACCACCTGCATTTAGTGTTAAATGAATTTTACACTATGTCCCACATCACTTACTGCAAAGTAAGAGTCACCTAAAGGTTGATAAACCGTTGAACCATGCTTATAAGAGAATTACCATAATACTGCACACCAATTTACAGCTTTATTCTGGAGGAGCTTAAATGCACAGAACCAAATTCTGAGCTAATGCACCCCCTTGCTAAAAACCCAAATACCAAGAAGCGCCACAAGCAACACTAATGCACCCCCTTGCCAAATACCAAGAAGCGCCACAAGCAACATTCCCTGCATCCAGAGACAAGAGGCTGCCGAGTGCAAACCACAGGCGCCTCTGGTGACTCCAAAACCAGTGGAATTCCAGCGCTCCAGCAGGAGCCTGGTGGTGCTGCTCGATGCACTGGGCTCCTCACAGCCCCTTCTCCTCGGCGGCAGCGGCGCGGGCCACGCAGGGCACCCTGCACCACTGCAGTGCAGCTGCACCTCCCACTTGCTCTTTCTTGTCTTTACTCAGGGACCAAGTTGCCTCATGAGCCAACAATTCTTTGATAAGCAAAAGGAAACTTCAACTTTGTGAGAACAGAGCAAAAAAGCACCCCAACCACCTCAGAAAACTATACAGGATCCAGTTCTAAGTAGCAATTTAGGCCTGAAGTAAATGACACAGAACACAAAGATGTCACAGAGAATTCCACTTAAATTAAGGGACTTGCATTAAAGGAGTGGGAGGCTGGTGGCCTTGCTTTGCCATGGCGACCTTGGTCAAATCACAGCCTCAACGTTTTGATTATCCTATCTACAAAAAAAGAGAGAAAAAAAAATCAATTTCCTTACCTCACGGACATGCTGCCATGCT